TTAGCGTTGTTCACAGACTGACTGACGTTTTGCCGTCATTCGATTTTTTGGTTTCAAGGACCCCCAAAACAGATTTGTGCTACTCCAAGTGTTAGGTAATTTTTCTAAATGTAGCAACTGGATTTATCCTCTTTTTACTAAGGCCCTGTAATAAGTGTTTTTCTGTCGAAAATTCCCCTTTTTCACGCAGCATTACATAACTTTCTCTCTACTCCCTAAAATATTTGCGGATAATTATTAAAATGAATAATATTTTATCAAATTCAGCAAGAGCTGAGATTAGCCTGCGCCATTCTACATCTGTAATATGACACATTCGTCGCAAACATTTTGAATAAAAAACTGTGTGAATTACTGATTACACTCCACTCAATCGTGCATTTATATAGTATCCCTAGGGTGGGGAAATATTTTAATTAAGGGTTGGATTTGGATGTTCTAAAACTACGCCAAATATGATCAATAAAATACACTTAAATTTAAAAAAAATCGTTTCGCGTAATTTTGCGTGTAAAAATACGTTCGAATAAGTACGTGCTGTTTTATCACCACTTATTAATTAAAAGTTTCGTGAGAAGTTAAGAATAATAGTTACTGAAAATTGGGGAAGGGGAGATTCCCCTCCCCCCCATTAAATTCTGGTGAACTTCGTGTTGACAGTTCCTCCAATTCGTGAAAAAGTACGAACATTTTTGGGTTTGTGTTTATGAATATTCTTGATTTTTTGACCGATTATTAAAATTTAATGTAGGTAATATTTCTCTCTATGGTAATAATTAATACAAAGTTTTAAAAAGCCCACAATTCATAAAAATATATGGAAGGAGTCACTTATAGGTTAATAGAACAGAGGCCGAAATTCGTCACTTTTCACAACCAAAGAAAGGGCACATGGAACCAAATATTTCATACATTTCATTTTATTATAATGCAGAATTTAGCATTATCTCTAAGATCAAGATAATAATTATAAAAAGCTGTCGATTTGACGTGTTGATAAAATAATGTTTTTTTTTCAATCCAATTTGTCGACGAAATTCGCGGCCAGAACCTATTTAAACAAAGAGAAAGTAAATAGCATTGTAAATAACAAATGTGATAAGACACACGTACGTTGGCAACCGCCAAATATAGCCTAGCTTGGTAATTCCCTAGGAATTGCTTACGGGCACATTAGAGGTCGCCACCTAACACTTTCCCGCCAAATGTTGTGACGTCATTCTAGACAACTCTATTGGTCCAAAATGTCTTGAAAGATTCTTCCATGGAACCGCGAGATGTTGACGTTCAAGTGTACTGATTAGCTGCTTTCGCTTTACATACCACAGTTAGACTACTGTGGCTATACTCTCTTCCATAGATACACTCTGAACATAACATTACTACAGAACAAGTATTATTTAATGCTCTTACCATCCGAATTAAATATCCTTACATTCTTCATGGCTGTGACGCAACTCATCGGGTTTTTACCTATATTATATCTTTAATTTTAAATATCCTTTGGTTGTTTTTAACAAGGAAGCGAAAACCCAATCCGTTAACAACGAACTAAGATTATAAATTTCTTATATTATTAGAATTGAACAAATGTTTTCTGTATAATTATATAAAAACATATTTTTCTGTTATACCTAGAATTTTCATTCTGAGTATGTGGTAGCCCTGATATAAGCACGTCAATAATGGCCCAAAAAGTAAAATTACAATCATTAAAAAATGTTTTATTGAACTTTGATGATGACGTCATATATCCAGAAGAATTAGGATTCATAGATTATATCAATCTGTAAAACTATGTCTTATGCAAGGCTATTCTTCTAATAATCGCATTCCCAAACTTCTTTTGCTTATATTTTCAATGTCTTTGGTCGTTCACCGGCGAATGCTACGCAGAATGGTTGGCAGAATGCAGTTGAACAGATGCCTTCACAGAATCCAACTTTCATAATTCATTTGAGCTTGGACAGTCTTGATATTTCGTACTTGCAAAATTACCGCATTGACACACCACCATTTTTCGAATACATACGTTGGTTGCATGGTGCGGTCGTTTGTAAAAGTGAATTTTCATTTGAGACTAATACTATTTGTAATCTTTATTTGTATTAAATTATGGAAAGAATATAAATACTTTGATATTTTTTAAAATTTTGAAACTATGTTTATTGAATAATTGATCTGCACTTCAATTTACTAGATGTTGAAAAACCCTCTGGAAAAGATAAGATAAAGTAGAACTAGAAGATTCTCCAATCACAAGAGCGCATTCAAAGTCATTTCATTACGACTTGTTCTCCATTAGCCAATAATAGTATTATCGTAACAGAGATCTCTGGCAG